GGGTTGAGGGGGAGAAAAGGGGGGTCGCGTTGGTTTGGCGGGAAATCAAACGGGGATCTCAAAACACCTAAAAGGTGTTTTGAGGTGTTTTGAGAAAAGCGTGGATCTTTTGATATTTGTAAAGGGACAACTCAAAAAAACACCCCTATTCCCAAACAAGTTTTATTGTTTTTTTGAAAAAAGAAATGGAAACAGAAAAAACACATTGGTAGCCAAACACATGGTAGTTGCTTGTTTGAAATTCGTTAATTCATTGGTAAATTAACTACTCAATCATGAAAATGAAGAAATTTTCTATTTAAACTCATTTCGACTTTTATTCTTAAAAATCGACCCTATTCAAAAAATTGTACAAAAATCGATCCACTTTCTCGCCACGTCAGCATCATGACGAGAGAAAGTGGGTCGATTTCTTTTTAATCTCGATCCTAAATAGTCGGGGTTGGAAACCCCGACTATTAAGGACGTCGCCTAAGCTAAATTAGTCAGCTTCTCTCGTTCGTCTCGATCTCAGACACAATAATCTCTCCGGCCCAGTTCCAAATTTGTCGTCTTCATTGCAATACCTCTCTCTGTCGTCCAATCTCTTAACGGGTTCTGTCGATTGGGTTCTGCCCAAATTAACCCGGCTCAATTTCCTCGACCTCAGCATGAGCAGGCTTATGGGTCTAATCCCAAGCTGCATATTCTCATTCCCATTGGGATCCCTTCAGCTGCAAAGAAACTCATTCGTTGGGCCGGTGATTCCGAGCGCTGAGGTGAGCATACCGGTGGTGGATCTGAGCTTTAGCAGGTTATCGGGTTCGATATCGCTGTTGCTGGCGACGGTTGGCAGCCTGTATTTGAACAATAACATGTTTACCGGTGAAGTGCCGGCGAGGTTTGGTGAGAGATTGGTCGGCGCTAGGATGCAAGTGCTTTATCTGTAGCGTAATTTTTTGACCGGGATGGATATTAGTCCTATGGGCGGATTTTTGGATTGACTAAATTAGTCAGGGTTTAGAACCCCGACTAATTTAGCTTCTAAATAACTAGCGGCGTCCTAAATAGTCGGAGTTGTCAACCCTGACTATTTAGGATCATGATTAAAAAAAATCGACCCACTTTTTCGTCACGATGCTTACGTGACGAGAAAGTGGATCGATTTTTATAAAAAAGTATGAATAGAGTCGATTTTTAAGAATAAAAATAAGAATGAGTTTAAATAGAAAATTTCTTCTCTTGAAAATTGTTGTCTTTTTCTTGCACTGGGTCTTCATCGTACAAGTATGCTGTTAGGTTTTGTTACCAAGGTGGAGGATAAAGAAATAAATATAGGATAAAGGATGTAAAACCTATAGATTAAAAGCACAGTAAATTACATAAGAGTAAATTAGATGTTTGATAGACAATTTTAATAAAACATAGCCAAAATCTGTCTGAGCTTAACTAAAATCATGATGGGTAGGAAAAAGGGCATTATGGACATTTGTTGTTATGTTCTCACCCTATGGCACCTTATGGTGACAGGTTCTCAAACACGAATAAGTATTAGAGCTGCTAATAACAAATCAAACCATACATGTTATTAAATATTTAACTCCCCGTAGTATTAGTGCATCCCAGGACTACAACGAGTTAAATTAGTCACAAGACAAAACAAATCCTTAATCTAAACATGGCCTCAAGGTTTACGTTAAACTTCTCATACTCTCTCAAGTTTCAATTGTAATATCGAATAATAGGCTATTAGTTGCACACACATTAATAAACGAGCCATTCCCCCAGTTGACACATTAGGATTTCAGTGTTTTGTTGGGGAAATTTAGTCTTCCTGCCTACTACGATTTACGCAACTTGGAAGCCAACCTACAATCAACAACATATAAAATAACCACAATCAAGAAGAAAGAACACTGAGATTTACGTGGTTCGGTCGACCAACTTCGACCTACGTCCACGAGCAACAATAAGAGAAATTCACTATGTATCAGGGAGAACTATAAATGGAACAACTCAACTCTCGTCTCTCAATCTCTTAGCCTCACATACATAATCAACTCTCATATTATCTCCAAAGCCCTCTCCTTACAATCTTTTAAACGGATAAAGACTGTGAAACTCTCTCCCAATGATGTAATTTGTTGCACAGACAAAGATTACGAAACCCTCGCCTTTCGCACAATATTCTTGAATCAAGCTATGCCCTATGTTAACCCTAGATTACAAGAATATTGGTTCTCCCACTTCTCTTATTCTTCTTGGTTTTTCCTCCAACAATAGAAGAATATATATAGGGAAACAAAAATCCTATCTCTAGCCTAACTTCATAATTAAAATAGGATTCAAACTCCTAATCATGATGAAACACAATCTCCTAATCATGATAGATCTCTAATCCTATCTAATTCTCATGAAGTTATACAAAGAATCAAAGACACAATCCTAACATGTTTGACGGAGAAGACTAGTGCAAAGCCAGTCTGTGTAAGCATCCGAACTGTGGGAACGTGGTGGTATCATAGGATCCATTTAGTCACATATGTTGATTAAATGAGTGAGTTAATGTCGGTTTAATTGTTAGATACTTGGGTTCTCTTCCCCTCTTCCTCATATGTAGCTTTTAAGAGTGTCTTCTTCTAGATCTCCAAGATGCAGAGATTTGTAGTACTTGGCTGGGAGCACAAGGTGATTTTGATCCCACATGTTGATAATCCCACATGAGATAATCCATGTATGGTTATTGTTAGGACTCATGTTTATGAGCCTACTTTCTAATCTAGTTTTGATGATTAACAAATAATTTATATTCTTATTTTTCTATCTTTTCTGTTTTCCTCCAACTTGTATCCAGGTCGGAGGTTGATTGGAATCGCGCGTCAACGACGATATTTTTGAGGTTGGCGGAAATCGGAATGAAGTACGATAAAATTCAAGTCCAAGACACATTATTAGTTCATCCCTACTTCGAAGAGGAGGATCGCCCAAGATCAAGCGTCACGAGATCATTTAACTTGGGTATATAGTTATTAGTCTAGGTGTTTATACTTTGTGTGTTTATACTTAAAGCTCAAATTATTCATATACACACACATATTGTTTCACATTTTGTGTTTTTGGATTATAGACTAAATAATAGGGTTTTACATCTTTTCTAAAGTCTATCAATCCATTTAAAAGTATTTCAAAACTTGTGTGA